AGCGGTCTTCATGATCCGGATCTCGTCATTGTGGACCGAACGTCTGCCCAGTTCTTCTTGGAAATCATTTGACTTCTGGATCAGCGATTGGTGATCCCACCAGAGCCTAGTAAAGCGATGCTGGAAGTAAGTCGCTAAGCGCGGGGCCAAGTCGATGTACGATCGCAGCTCTGCCTGCAGCCTGTCGATCTGCAACTTCTGGCCACGATGCGCTTCTTCCAAGGCACGGTAATCTGTCAGCCTGCTTCTTTGAGTTCCAGTTGGTTATAAAACGCCGCAATCTGTGAAAACACACTCTCGCGATCCGCCAAAGATGGAGCACTCACCAGTGTCGACTGGAATAAGGTACGCGATCCGTCAGAAGAGATCGACGGTGACAAGGGAGGAGGGATCGATTAATCAGTTACCGAGGTAGCCCCAGGAGGCTCGAGAGAATCGGACGGTGCAGACGAGGATAGAGTCATGGCCGTTACGGGGTGCGTAGCCGATCGACACCGTATGTCGATCGCCGATGCAGGAAGCGATTAGGAGAAGCGCAAATGAAGAATGAAGAACAGTGTATCGCACGATCCACCTTAATTGCGAAACCAGTTCGATTAGTGGAGCGCGTACAAAGATGGGCCTGTTGGGACGAGGAAGGTGACCAAAAGACTAATCGAAAGTAAACGACTGTCCAAGTCGCGCAGGTTGATCCACCTTCTATCCTGGATACATCTGGGTGTTGTGGATCACATAATGGGCGTGGAATAAATAATTGGTTTGGATCATATACCGCGATCCACTGTGGAGCGATCCACTGTATCGCGATCCACTGTACCGCGATCCTCTACCTAGCGATCCGCTACGGAGCTATCCACTACGGAGTATCTACTAAGGACCACATGAAAAAAGCGATCAATGACATAGACAGGTGGTGCACAACAGTTGACCTAGCAAACAGATAAGCTTAGTCAAAGGGTTTGGATTTGGTTAGTTGAAAGTAAACAGAACTGAATTTGCAACGAAAGACACCCATCGCTTTCTTCCGGGCAGAATCATTGGCCTTCCGTTGAATAGAGAGTCACCCACGTCTCAGTGAACTTCGCCCTTGATTTGTTTGGCCAGGCGGAAAGTCAATTCTCACCCCCCTTAGTGCGATAGGAACAGTGAACCTTACGTTTCGGACTCAAGATCGCGAGACGGCTCAAGTGGTCAGGAGGCTCGCGGATCAAGCATCACCCTTGCCAAAGGCGACTATAGGAGAACGCCCAAGTATAAACGCGATTGAGTGAAGAATTCCCACCGAGCCCGCCCCTACGTTTGACGGGGTTAGGAATTTCTACCCAATCAACCCCTATCCACAAATTGGTCAAGTTCAGCCTCAGCTCAAGTCCACAAAGAAGAGCGCAACCCGCCCCACCGACGGGTACGTACACACTATGAGCGAGAATTCATAGAGCACGGAATCGGAGTACCTCCGCGTTAGTCGGTCGTCCGGGCGCCAGTGAAGATTCGGGATCGGCTCGCAAAACGAGCGATCACCACTTCACCACAACGAAGCGTATCCGCTTCGTTGTAGTAAGTACTATTGTATAGATATGATTTAGTCCTGAAATGTGTCTTGTCCTGATTGTCCTAAGATTACAAGATTAACATCAAAGCAAGTATAGTGACGTCTACTCACCACCCATTGCGCGTGTCTAAATGTGTTGAGTGGGTTGAAACGATGGCCTGTATCAACCAATATGTAGACCCTGAGGCACTGCAATAATATTACTGACTTCAGTAATGCTGTAGTGAGAATATTTATTTCATGTTCTCGAATTTTTTTTCTAATTTATCACGCATTACATCATGTACAGGAACACCTCGTTACACGCCCCATCCAGTAAGAGACAAGCATTCTCAATCTCATTGCATCAATTTAGTATTTCATTCGCCGTATAACTTGATAATATTCCACGCTTATTACCAGTAATATTCGGTACCAACGTGAGATCGTTACAATTAAACATCCATCGATCTTCACGGACGTATACCATTTAACCTTTTCGTGTATTTGCGATCGAGAATCTGACCTTGTCGACTTTGAGTGGACAGATATCGACAATGCCGAGTTTATGAGAGACTTTGCCACAATGGTATAAACGCTGTACAAAGGAACTCGATTCGGGAAAAACATTTGTGCGGTCAATGGCCAAAATAGGGACTGGATCTTCTTCAATCAAGGTGCGCGGTCATTATTTTATCAGCTATTAAACATATCGACATTTTTTAAGCTGTGAGACGTTTCGATGAGATCTGGATCGATGAAACGGTCTCTTTTATTGCATGCTGTTAAGACGTAGATGAAGGGATTATCGAAAGTTTATAGAGGTCAAAATTGAGGTTTACATGTTACAGGTTGAGCCCGTTTGATAAAAATTGATTCGAATGTATCAATTTCTAAATATTATCTAATTGGATAATATATAATAAACATCACTCAAGAAGAGGTGATGTTAATAGATTATTCCCTCCGAGGGTAAAGTTCGTGGTTACTCCACTTCTTGGCTGATGTACACGGTACATCAAACAAATTAACCACCAATCGTTGCTGGACGCGCGCAATGGGTGGTGAGCATCAAACCCACATGGGAATTTATAATGTTTAATATAGTTAGATGAGGACAGAAAATGTTTATTACGAAACATAACTATATTAAATACAGTTCGAAATTCCCTCAGAAAGAGCTTTAGGATTTTGTTTGCTTCGGCTGCGCTCCCTCGCCACGTGTACGTGACATCGGGAGCACGCAGGTATCTGTATTCAGTCAACACAGGGTCTTTCCACTCATCTGAAAATAGCGTGTCGCGTTACAATAGACGTCTCGCAACAGCACAAGAGAAAACAAGATTATTTCGAGCGGTTTAAATACAAGATCAAATGTTATACTCAATCTCTTAGAGCGAATCGGCAAAAATTAAATAAATTGTTTATACTGTAATACTGTGGAAGATTATCACTTAAAGATCGCGCATGTTAAGTTTTCACCGTAAGCAAGATCAAAATCTGCCTAGGCTTTTACAATCAAATAAAGATATTATACTTGACGGGTGGACAGGGTAAATACACTAAATGTAAGAAGCACACGAAACAGGGTTCCCCATGTGATAGTCGCCAAGTCCGTGCAATATGTAAGGTCGCCTTTGCGTCACTACATTGTGACAAAGAATCCACCCCAATTTTTGGTGCATTAAGCCTCAATATTTCAAACTAATCCGAAGAAGCTGCCTATTTTTCAATTTCTATACATCGACGGACATCGCGCACCAAAAACTCTATAGCGCGTTGTAGTCGATTTACACGACGTCACATCCGCGAAGTCCCCGACACCGACAGAAGAGATTTCGCATATATAATGTATAATTCGGAGTTGGAGCGATCGACAAGTAGTCTATTGCTTGTGTCCCAAGCTCGCTGTCCAGGACGCGCATTATTCTGCTTCCGATATATGTTTGCTTTGCAGTTTCCGAGTTATTTGTGTCTGGCTCCGCCATTACGTCGCTGGTATATTATCCATCTTTAATATCCGCCGAGGTTCCCATTTTGTGATTGGTGTTTATAAATGAGCGACGCAATGGACTTACCCCATTACATAAGTATTAACTAATCATGCATGCTTACGTAGTTTTGCTACATCCGATGTCGTACGTCGCATGATTTAATCGCGTGAATTTTAATCAAAGCTGACCAATGTTTATAACATGCCGACGCTTACATAAATGAATCCATTTTGTCCAGCAAAAACATTCTTGATAAGTAAAAAGCAAAAAAATTATAGTAAACATATGTCTTTAGTTTTAAACACTGGGATAAAAACCTTCTTTACATCGGTGCAAGATAGCAGGAGCTTCAAATTCCGTCAAAATTATGCAATTATTATCGTCTGATGTAGTATTCAAAATGCTTACTCATTTTCCTTTTAATCCCATTACAAAAAATTATGCAAAAAGCGATGAACGCGCGCAATCGGTCATTAGCAGATCGGTACAGGTTTTGCTTCCATTCAGACAGGCTCCGACAAGAAAAGCAGATTAAATGACGACAAACACTTCTTTCGACAAAATAGGAGTGCTCTATTGTATCATAGTTTCAGAAAGTGGAACTATGATAAATAAAGCATTTTTTTTGTCGAACAATTTGTTTGTCGTCGATAAGATTTTTTTGCAGGTACGTGCACGAGCGGTTACGAGGCACCTGTCACACCCTTGTAAGTGAATATTGGCCTATACTGTGGGCAGTATAAGTAGGTGGGCTGTTGTGCAGCTATAGAAATACGTAGTCGCATGCTGAAGTAGTGGCAGGGTGCAACAAAACTTTCTTTGTCTCAATCCTGATGCAAAGTCCCTTTCAAACCTGATAGCCTTTCGTTTTGCTTGGTAAAGTGATAATTGTCAATCAGCACTACAGACAAGATTTAGTTGACACAAGCGTTGGTGCACGCGTGGGCCGTAGGTCGCTTTTTTTTCTGTGGTAACGTATGACTCATACGAAACAATTGGGAACTGTCGTTCATCTAATACCACATTACCTACCTACTGCACAGCTCTTGGAAGCAGCATATACACAAAGCAGGATCATGGGTCCTGCGCGTTAATCAACGCAGTCGTATCTCCGACTACAAACTTATCCTTTTATTTGATTGACTGTCGTTCATTAAATATAATCGTGTCTAACGATGGCTATTATCCCAAGGCCATTAGCTACCATTTTTAGCTTGTATTTAATGTGGCTCTCATATATGTGGCCATTCTTATCCAGATTCTAACCGCAACACACCTTTATGCACTTTCTGCCATCTTTTATAATGGGCCAACGCTCAACAATCGTGCTTGCTGTGAGATAAGCACAAGTAAGGTGCAAGCAAGTAAGTCAGATGCGCCTGATTGACAAAGCACGAATAACATGGGGCAAAACAAAAGAAATGACTTTTACTTATGTATGTGTAGAATCACCTCAGCGGCTTAACCTAAAAGAACTAGAGGGAGCTCTTTGAGACTGACTTGTGAAATTTGACGTACTTCGCGTAGGCGTCGGTAGCATCAATGACAAGACGGTCAATACCATGGTCATGGTCCTTTGCGCCATTCTGTTGCACTGACGCAAGCCACGATGAACGCAGAGCTTCAGGGCGAATATCGTCGTCGTAAATCCTCCGTAGCTGTACATCTTCAACCTTTTGTACCCATAAAGGCGCCTCTTTCTGCGACTTCTGCACAAGCATCTTCACGGCTTGAATTACAGCTGCCGCTTCGATCGGGGTCAATTGGTTAAGCCTCTCAACTATATGATGGACCCGAGGGGGACCCGCATACTTGTACCGATTTGCCGACAACAGCTGTTCAGCCTTTAGTACAAGCTGCTTGAGCTCCTCACTCGATGCCGGTAGCAGGTACGATATTGTACCTGGTGATTTTGATACTCGGGCGGGAGCCGACATCACAGTAGCTACAGTTGGCTGTAAAGATGGAAGGGCGGCCGTGGCAGCACTCAGTTTAGTGTCAGCAGTTCGAAATGCCATACCCACCAATACGTCCAAGAGGTCAAGGGGTCCCCCTCGTTCTTCTTGCTCGGCCACAGTGGCAGCATCGGTCCGCAGTATTTTCTTATCCGTCTCGGGATCGAGTGCATGAGCAGCCGATGCCGTGGCTTTTGCTTCGATGCTTTCCAAAGCGCTGTAAGAACCGGCTGATAGCACGCCAGTGGCGAAGAGTGCACGGAGGTACAAGGCCTTCATGTCTGGGACACGGAGACTAAGTTGGATGAGGAAGGACGCAACGAGGCGCAAAACGGTAAATGAAAGCAGCAGGCAAATGATCTAGCATTCCAGATGCAGTTTCTGTGCTTCAGCTGCGGAAGACCAATCATTAGCCCGGACGACGGCCATGCGACGTCCAGACCAGAATAAATGTATCAGATGGTATTAATTTATAAAGTTTGAGTGGCGAAAGATGGTCGTGGACGCAGACATATGGTAGGTAAACCTGAGCGATGGGCGATCACGTGCTGCTAATCCGACCCAAGTACTGTCGTTCAAGGCTTGAATATACACGCCATATTATCAGCTGTCATCAATCATGCGATGAAGCCACATTAGTTTGTCTCTTTAAGCACATGCAGTTCAGTATAAGAATCCGGTCCACTTTGGTCGACAAGCGTCTTAGCCACAAAATCGTGCACGGTCCAAGGTGTCGTCACACACGCCAAAAATTATCTTTCCATGCAGCGAATACAAGATAGTCCGAACGAATGGGCCGTCCATGTCCACCGATTGGACGTGGTATATGGCTGCGGGATCGATGCGCAAAGGCATACCAACCGTACACAGTCAAGGGCCAATCAAACTGGTACGTGCAGATATTTCTCCAGCAATTGTTGCCAGGCTACTTTAATGCCCAGCATGCTTAGACCGTCTTGACGCACAGAACACCTGGTTTAAGATTTCGGTGAAGCCACTCTGGCCAAAACACCGCATTGTGCTAGGCAGCTATCTGAGATTGTGGTCGCAGCAAATTACATATCCTGGTTGGTAAACGCCAAAAAACGTCGGCGCTGAACAGTCAAGCTTCTTCCTATAGCAAGGTGTAGAGCTCCACATCAACAATCGGTGGCGAAAACCGGCCTTAAAATATCAGAGGCAAAAGCCAGGTGCTAAAAATGAGAGCTCCCAATAGGAGATTGTACCCTGCCAAGTACTTGAGAAATGCAGATGACACGATCGCTGTCGATTGGATTCGCTGCACAGGTCGCAGAATTGGAATGGCTTGTTTAGCAGAAAGGTCTGCAGTTGAAACGGTCGCTGTCGATAGGATTTGATGCACAACGACAGGTCGCAGAACTGGAAATACTTGTTCAGCAAAAAGGCTCAGTTCTGCGACCTGCACTTGGAGCGGCTCTAGCAGATTACAGGGAGCAGTCTTCAGACAAAAGCATGTTCTTTGCACAAAGCAATTCTAATCTAGACGGTAGTAGCAGCGAATAAGCTACCACAATAGCAGAATCGATCAAAGCTCGCCTCACACAGGGGACGGGTTAAACATCCTCAACTAAAAGACTACCTGTCCTTAAGTCTATCCCCAACTACACAGACATATAATCAGTTATTTTTGGGTCGTAATTTGTGCTCGTCTTGACAGATGGCAAAACGATAGCGGTACATAGCACCGAGTTCTACGCTAAGAGAGGCTCAAAGAACACAATCAAGCTTATAGGAAAACCACGACCCTGTCCGGGTCCCCGCTGTAACGGGGTTACACGTCGGCTGGTAGTCGACGATAGGTGTGGTCTATACAAGAGAGGGGGTACCCTATAAAGTAATTTTCGAACACAGTGAGTGTATCAATTATTGATGACTGATGTCTGTCATCAATTGATTGCGAGATCTTTTAAGAGATTATTTAGGGCAGGTTAAATACGCTGTTCTAATTCTAAGGTGTTCTTTTAGGTTAATTAAAGAAATAAAAATTCAGTTCCCCCTTTGATCACTGAAAGACACGTGCCTTACGAGGCGTCTTTGATCGATAGGAGCTAGCAATAACTGTGAAGGTAGCTGCTCCTGAGCACTCTGTGCTGTGATTCTTTCGAATCGTTTGGTCTTTTAGGAACGGGGACCGTAAGCTCTCTGAGCTTGTTGACTCTCTGAGTCGGGTTCGTAGAACCAAAGTTGCTCGTATGAGCGTTAAGTCTTCCTCTGACTTAAGGAGCTGTGTAGCTCCGCTACATTTGGTAGCACTTGTAGTCAATCTACGCCTGAGTCGGTAACGACTGATCCTCTGTGAGGATGGGGCAATCCACATTCCTCTCTGAGGCTCAAAAAGTCGCGCTTGATAAGCTGACCGCGGCCGTAGGCCCTGAGTACGTGGAGTTTCTCGCTGCACAAGGTCCCGATGTGCTCAATGCACGAGTCGAGACCTTCATGCAGTATGAAACGGCCTTGTTAGAACAGGTTCAAAGCCAAGTAGCGTCGGCTATGCCAACACGCTACGTGGCAATGCCACCAGAAGAGGCTAAGCCTCGTCCCCTTCGGGTGGACGTTAAATGTTACTCCGGGAAGGAGGGGGAAAACTTGACCCTCTGGATCCGTGAGATTGAGATGGCCATGAGATCTGGCTTGATCTCAATCGAGCATCAGCGAGTCTCGCTGGCCATCTCAAAGCTCGATAGAAGATCTAGAGAATGGGCTTTGACGTGCGGCACGTCGGGTAACTTGGCGTTTCCCACTTGAGATTCGCTCAAGCTAGACCTATTGCGAGTTTTCTCGCCGTCTAACCAGGCATATCGCGTGCGCTCACGCTTCTTGTCTACCCGTCAGGGTAAGAACGAGTTAACGGACTATGTCCAGGGATTGATAACTCTGATGGCTGCCGTGCAGTCCGACCCTCTCCCTGAGACCGTATACATGACAGTCTTCATGGAAGTCCTTCGCACTGGCATTGCCAGGACCGAGGTCTTTCAAGTCCATCCCTCGACTTTTGAGGAGGCTTAGAGCTTCGCTCAGAATGCTGAGCATAACTTTAAGTCAGCAAGACTTGGTTAAAATTGAAACAACCCAAGCTATGCGAGGGCACCCTCAGCAAATAGCTCAGCTTACTGTAAGCCCGAACCGATGGATCTCAGCAATGCTGAAGAAGAAGGTGAAGCTGAGATTTATGTTGCCGAGCAACGAGAGGAGGTGAAACGCTGTTACATGTGCGGAAGCACTAAACACTTGCGTCCCACTTGTCCTTTGCGTAAGCAACGACCGACTCCTATGAGTCGAAACCCCAGCCTCAACCAGAAACTTGGTATGGCACGGGAAAACGTCGACACCCAGTAGGCGCGGGGCGCCCTACTGGGGTAGAACTGATTTCTGTCACTTCTCTACGAGGTAGAGCAACACAGGGCTTATACCCACAGAGCTCCGTGCCAGCAAGCACATAGCGTGGATACAAGCCTGGCTTGTTAGTCGCCGAGGCGATAGTTAAAGGCTTTGAGAAGCACTGGTCGATATTAATCGATTCCGGGGCGTCATGTAACTATACTAGACGCCGTTACCTTGAGGAAGGTCAGCAATATGCTGAGGCGCTCAAAGAGCACGATGTTGATTCCATCACTGTTCGGTTAGCGACAATTAGTCGCGTTACTGTGCCTAAAGTTCCGTTGAACTTGGGCGTGAAGTTTTTGGACTTTGATAGCACAAAACGCTGTCTCGTCCTTGACTTGGATTCGAGATACGATCTCATCCTAGGCATGGCATGGCTTGAACGCCATGAACCATGGATCGATTGGAGGTCTAAGACCTTGGGCGCCACGCGAAACGTTACTAGCAAAGCTTTGGAGAGTCATGAACCCACCTTTGCTAGGCAACAAAAGCACTATTGGCGCGAGTCAGTGGCGGAAGATGTCAATGTGCTGGACATTGGTATGTCGGAGCTAACTAGCTCGAATGTCTATGACATGAATATGGAGCGGAGCCCTTCTAATGTGTTTGAAAAGAGTTGTACTCCGTTGAGTGATACTCGTTTTGATAATGCGTCACTGCATGCGTCAAGCATGGTTGGCTTAGGGCGGGACATACAGGAAGTAATTCCCATGATGTCAGTGCGGTGGCACGTGAAATTACACAGAGTGAGGGCGGCCGTGATGGCGCCTCACTGAATGTCGGTAATGACATTGATGGCGAGAAGCCAGAGTGTTTAGGGCTAGGCCCGAATGCTGTACGTGAAGTGGTCCGTGTAAATCCACTAGGTGAAGTGTTTGAGTTACGTAACACTTCACCAGATGTCGTTCAAGACATGTGCTCTCGTCTAGAGCGTGCTAAGACAAATAGCAACCACGGGGACCCGACTGTCCCGGCCTTTAGGAGGCGTACTGTTTCTGTGAGGACCCGATTCCAGCGTAGGGTGGCAACTGTTAAGCGCCCAACGTCTAAGCAGTCACGAAGTGATAATAGTAATAATACACTGTATACACTTGTAAATGGGTTGACTGGCCAGATCGATGGCAATATTAGTTCTGAGACTATTCCATCTTTAGATACTCGATTTCAACTAGACGAAATGTCTGACGGCGAATTTAGCCAAGCCTTACAGACAGAAGAATTATCCGAGTTAGTGGTCATTCGACCAGATATTGAGTTGAACTCATCCTCGTTATTGGACGAGTCTGCCCTTGAGGACACAAAGGCGGAATTGGATGCCCGTAGTGAATCTTCGATCCTTAAGGATCCTCTTGATCCGTTCTACCCTTGGGTAAAGGAGTTTCAGGACGTGGTGTGTCACAACCCACCGTCCGTCTTACCTCCCGATAGAGGTGTACGTCATGATATTGACTTGGTTCCTGGAAATAAATACTGCGTAACACGGCAGTGGCCTTTACCGAAGGAACAGTTTGACGTCATTGACGACCTCTTTCGTGCAAAGCATGCAGCGGGCATGGTTCTTGAGAGCAAATCTCATCATTCCACGCTCACACTTTGTGTTTGAAATCTCAATGGAAAGTGGCGCATTGTTCATGCTTACAATGAGCTTAATGCTGCCACGATCCCGGATCATACACCAATCCCTCGGAAAGATGTTATTTAGAACAATATGGTGGGATGTACAATGTACAGTGCACTCAATTTAGTCGATGATAATTAATAATTACTCATGCGTGAGAACGATATCCCGCTAACAGCGGTTAGTAACCCGAGCGGTATGCTCTGGGAGTGGCTAGTTATGCCACAGGGCTCGTTCAACGCGCCAGCTACGTTCAATC